AATCCTAATAACTGTTACGTGTGTGGATTCATCCCACACAGTACGACTGAAGGACTCCCATTGATGGCTTCACCCATCACCTCCTGTGACACTCGCCACATCTTACACTACAACTCCACCTATGAACACCGTGCCTGTCCCAACCCTACCCAAATCAGACAGTTATCCTGCAACCAACTTTACCCCAACTGTTATTCCTGTAACACTCCTAACCCCCTGACCCTCATGAAAGTCCCAAACACCCTAAAATGGTGTGTCAAAGGTAAAGGACACAATCACCTTGAAACTTCTAAATGCAACACCATATACACTTCATCAGAAGAACTAACTGTTCCACCAAGACAACACCCATCATCTAATTTCTCTAATGAATATGGACACTTTGTTAACATGATCCAATACTGCTCCATACCACTACCAAAAGGTGTGTACTGGATTTGTGGCATGAAGGCCTACGAGTATTTACCAAAAGATTGGTCTGGTGTATGTGGTTTGGGTCATGTGATACGAGCCATGAGAGTACTTACTGCGCAACCTGAAGTTCACCTGTTTAAAGAGACCTATACACACACAAACAAACCACATGGACAAGACCTTTTGGAGCCCTCATTCCAAGCTACGGAGTTATGGCATCACTGGACCAAATAAGAGACCTCTCTCATGCTGTCGAAGATCTTAAAAACTCTACTGCAAGAGGCATGTCCCTACTCACAAAAGAAGTGACTGCCATACGAATGATGACTTTACAAAATCGTGCCGCACTAGATTACCTCCTTGCCTCACAAGGGGGAACCTGTGCTATCATCGGGACTGAATGTTGTACGTTCATACCAAATAACAATGCTACCATACAAGAAATAACTAACCACATGCACGATATCGCCAACTATTACACGAGCCAGTCACCACTAGATTGTTTGACTGGTTCAAACTAAAACTTGGAACATTAGGTTATTTGATTTTGGAATGTGTACTACTTAGTTTTGGAATCTTGGTTTTCATCAGTCTCCTGATCACCTGTCTCAAGTCCGTCTTCAAATCATTCTTGTCAAAACCCACTCCTAAAATCATGTACTCCACCACGTCTCACCCCGACCCCAAATAAGAACAGCTCAGATTTTATTCAAAATTGAAATTGATTATTGACTTAATTATGCTTAGATCCTACCTTTTTGTCTTTCTTTCTCATACCTTCATTTGGTTTAGCTTTGTTTGACAATTAATTTTTCCGATTGACCTTCGTTTTACTTGCTTTACTTGCTCACTTGATTTGCTTTGTTTGACAATTGATTTTGTTTTATTTTTCAACTGACTTTTGTTTTACTTGATCATTTCATTTTGTTTTATTTTTCGATTGACTTTTTGATAATTTCATTTTACTTTGTTTGACAATTGATATTTTGTTTTATTTTCGGACAGATGACTTTTGTTTTATCTTGATTGTCAATTGATTTTTGATGTTTTCATTTCAATGTAAATACCTTTTTTCTCAACTTAATTGTGTTTTATTTTATTTTACATCACTCGATCGAATTTTGTTTTATTACATTCTATGTAATAATGATTACCTCATGTTTTGTTTTGTTTTGTTTTGTTTGTTTTGTTTTTTGTTCCACTTGATTTACTTTTGTTTTACTTTATTTGATTTCATGATCTCTTATTTTGCTACTTAATTGAATTTCCATTAATGACATGGTCTAGATAATGACAATTATCCTGAATCTTCACCCAGTTTTGTATTGCTTTAAAAAAAAAAGAAAAAAAAAAAGGGTGGATTGAGGAAGAAAATACACATCCTTTAGTGTAGACTTGCTGACACCTATGAACAACCCCATAACCCTACTGAGTTGGCCCCTTGATCCTTTCATCAAGGAGAAACCTCCTTCTTCCCCCTTACATCACCAATGCTTTATCGTCTTTACAACAATATCTTACCTGTGCATATGTTGATTCAGTCTAGGGGCCCCGTCTGCCCTATCCATGTATATGCTGATCCAGCCTTAGAGCCCCTTCTACCCCCTGATAACTTGAACCTAGGTGCTACACTACAAGACCTCTTGATAAACATTACCTTTTGTTGTAACTTCCTTTCCTGTCTGAACAAATGTCTGTAACCCCAGGTATATGCAAATACAGATGTCCATCCCATTGTCTTGAACTGTATAACTGTCCCCCTGCCCTACACTCTGGGTCAGTCTACTGCCTCAGACCTGCTCTGTGTCAGTTGGCTCACCGTATCCTGGGGTACCATTAAACTTACTTCTCTACAGCAAACTTCAAACTAAGGACTTGAGTGAATTTTCTTCAACACAGGTCAGCCAACGTATAAAGGAACCTGACGACTGACTGGGGTGCTGGCTGAGAGGATTGAGGCTTACCATGAGGCAACCACAAAAAAGCTGGCACAGGCTGCTGGGTCCATTACTTGGTCAGTTCATACTGTCTCGTTTTAAGGTAAAGGCTGGACCCAAATGCAGCCAACACAAGGGAGTTGGTGAAAAATGTTTAATAAACAGAAGAACTTACAAAACTGGTGAACCAATGAAACAGTAAGCCGAAGCGCAAGGTAACAAGGGACTTGAAGAGAAACAGAAGCACGAGGAACACAGAGAACTTGAACAGGTAGCAAAAGCATGAGGAACACAGGGAACTTGAACAGGTAGCAGAAGCATGAGGAAACAAAAGGGGGTTTAAACAGAAAGAGAAGCACGGGGGACTCGAACAGAGGAACTGACCCAGACAATGGGGAGCACAAAGACTAAATAGACACAATGGAGGCAAGAGTGATTGAACACAGGTGAAACACCTTAGGGCGGGGCAGACAATCAACAAGGATGGAAACAGGACAAAGACAGGAAGTCAAAACATCACAGAGAGACACAAGGAAAGTAACTACTAAATAAAACAGGGAAATGACCAAACTCAAAGTGCAAACATAATACAAAATTCAAATATAAACTGTCCGAATGTTTGAATGAAGTGTGTACCTGAAAGTATGCTTGAGTAGTAGAATTTCAAAGACATTGAAGTTTTGAAGGAGTTGTACATAGTCTCCATTCACTTACATTGTAAAAAAATGCAGCAAAAAGTTATTTTTTAAATATCATTTAAATTATGAATAGTATCAAAAGGTTTAAGGAAAGGAGACATCTCCTGAAGAAGCTGAACATTTTGATAGTTGAACGTTTTTTGTAGCACAAAGTATACAGGAGTAGTTAACAACCAAAGGAAATAAAAGGAGGATCTGGAGTATAACACCAGTGGAGCAGGTTAAGTTCAATATGTCTTGTGCTGTATTTACTGTTGTTCTGTCCATCTGAACTGTCATCTCCCTTTATGAGTATTAACAGTTTTCTCTGTGTGTGTGTGCATGTATCTGTTTTTGTGTGTGTGTGTGTGTGTGTGTGTGTGTGTGTGTTTGTATGTGTGTCTGTGAGTGTGTGTGTCTTCACACTAATAAGTATGCAGAATAATAATATATGCCTTCAATTCTATTGCATTGCAGGCACATAATAAGTATGCAGAATAATAACATGCAAGGCACATAAATATATGCCCTCAATGCTATTTCATTACAGGCAGTTAGATATTTAATGTCATTTAATGTCATATTCCTCAGATCTGTGTCTGTGAAGAGTGTTCTGCTGGTCACTACTCAGGATTGGAATGTGGGTTATAGTTAATGACTAGAGAGGGACAGGGGAAGGGAGGTTGGTGTGTGTGTGTTCATGTTTGGCTCAGAGAGGCCAGGATCCACACCTTAGTGACAATCAATCCTTTTGGTGTTACTTTTCTTCTTTAAGAAACAATCAAATATCAATAGGCAGGGTCTTATTATTACAACCTGGAGATTTTACCTATGCTCTCCAGTTTGCCTGGTGTCCATTTGTTGATCCTCTGTAGTTGACCCTTTGACCCTTGGTCTGGTTGAGTTTCTCTCTGACATGCTAACAGCATGGTCTGTCTGTGAGAGAAGGGTCCTTTGTTTTTGTTTCTTGTCAATTTCATAGTTTGATTGTGGGAAGAGTAACAACGTGTCAATTTTGGGTCTGTAACTCTGCATGTCCTTACAATGAACTTCTTAACGGCTTGTGCAAGGAGAGCTACATCCTTCCATTAAAAAGAACAAGTAGCGAGTCCCCCTGTAAACAAGTTCACATCAAAATACAAACAATGCCTCCTCTTCCTGGGCCCTGGTACAGTAGGTATCTGAGCTTTTGCAGTGGGAATATAAATGTTATGGGACACATAGTAAAGAGGAAATTGTGCCTCAGATTATGGTTAGCAATGTATTTACAGTGACATTTTTGATGTTCAGGAATGAAGAGCTAACAATCTGGGTACTTACAAGGATTTTATACTTTAACTATTTTCTAACTACCAAGTTGATAATAAATGTATTTCAGGGAACAGTATGAGACAGTAAAGATGCATCTTGTGTCCGTACTGAAACGCTGTAACATGGCCATACTGCTGTTTATTAATTTTTCACAATTCATTACTGTGTTTTCCCGAGGCAAGCCTCTCCGTCTCCGTGCCCCTATCTGACATCAACATCAGTTATGCTGCAAACCTTCCCTTAATTCACCGCCATCTCTCTCAAGAACTTTGTACAAAGTGAACAAAGACAAAACACGTGTTTTGTCTTTCATGAAAAGGGTTAATAAAATTAATTTCCCCTCATATAGCAACCAATGAAAATTTCCATAAGATAAAGTTAACTGTGTCACATTCTGACATTAACTTTAAATAACTGAGCCCCAAATCGTGATACAGGCCTCAAGATGTTCCATAAAATGGGTGCAGAGCTTTCAGCAGCTGTCACTTCAAACTGGACCTAGAAATATCACTAGCCTTCAGACATTTGAACACAGGGTGCTCAGTGTGTCCTCTTGTCTGTCCTCATTTTAAACCAATGGACTACATTAAAATATCAATCTAATCACCATATAATTTCCACAAAGCTGAGTCTACAACAGGTCATTTACAGTGTGACTCACCCGGAACATCTTCTCCACTTTGGCAATGCTTTTGACAAATATGGTGCCAAGCTGGTCCCCGACACCTGCCAGCAGGAATCCAAACAGCGGGATGCCAAATATTGCATAAAGAATGCAGAAAATCTTCCCTCCCTCAGTGCTCGGGGCAATGTTACCATAACCTGGAGGAGAAAAGGATAAAAAAAGGTGTTTTTTACAACTACATGGAGCAAACAAAAGCACTCGGCATTTACTTACACACCATGACATTGTCTGACAACATCAGTTAAAGACTGAGCTATGATTTCAGCTGTATCTACTGTTGGGTCTGAGCTCTACCTCATGAGCTGGACACCAAATATGTTGGATTTCGGTTGTCTATCAATGTATTGGCTATCATAAATTAAGAAAAATATTAATATTAAAAATATTAATGTTAAATAATAACTTTAAAATGAATTAAAGTCCTCGGGGCACCAGCCTAAACTAATAGGCAAAATAGCCAATATGGTTTTAGTCTCAATTTATTACCATTAATCTGGAACTCTGATTAACAATCAGTTTACTAACTATAACCAAATTACCAAATCAACAGTAAGTTAAAGTTGAAGGATTGGAATTCTACAAAGTAGAGGTTGGCAATATTCACGCTTGTGCAACATTAAACATACCAGTAGTTATACTTAAAGGCATTTATTTACAATGAAGCAGAGTAAAACACAATGTCTAATCTAGTATATACAGGTGTGTGTTAGGCCCAGTCAGTTAACGTTACCCAGTCCTTGGAACAAACAAAGAGGTCCTTTCCAGAGTTGGTGTAAAGTCCAGTGAGTTGGGAGGCTTCCTAGTGGAGTAATGTCCTGTCTGGCTGTGTTGCTTTGCTGTTATCTCCTTTGTTCTCCTCAAAGAGTTAGCTGTTCCACGCTAACTCTGCTATGACTCCTGTTGCTTGGAAAATCAGCTGGCCTTGTGTCGTAGCTGCTGATTCTGAAGAGAATTTGGTTCACTCTCAGTTAATCTGAAGCAGGTCGTTGCTGTTGAGGAGAAGAGTGTTTGCAGGCAGCAATGTCAAAATAGCTTTGTTTGCCAGAATGGGGAACTCCTTGGCAGTAGCCAACCAAAAACTGACCAAAGGTAGATCAGCAAAGCTTAGCTTTAAACCACGGTTTTGTCTCAGTTCAGTTAGTTCCTCCTGCTCCTGTAAAGTCATGTCCTTTGATGCTGAGCTATATGGGTCCCTAACCCAGTCAAGGCATTCAGTGGAGGCTGAAGAGAAATAAAATGACATCTTCTCCTCAAGAGTTTTTTAATGTTTAACTATTATCTCACACAATGCAGCAGTGTTAACATCTTGCCATTGCTTGGTGATTGTGAACATTTCAAGATTGCCACTTTCCACATGTTGTTGCCAGAGTTGCACCTTTGAACGGAATCCGTTTATTTTATCTGTACTTGTAAGCAGGTTTTCATTTCGGCCTTGCATTCGTGTGTTCAGTTCATTCAGATGATGAAAAATATCTGCCAGGTATGCCAGCCTTGCACACCACTCATCACTTGCAAGCAGCTTTGCATAATCAGACCTCTCATTTGTCAGAAACACTTTAAGTTCCTCCCACAGCTCATACACACGGGCCAAGACCTTGCCGCTTGACAACCACCGGACCTCCGTATGAAACAGCAAGGCTTTATGCTCCGCTCTCATTTCCTTACACAAAGATGCAAATATGCGACTTTTCATGGGTCGTGACTTTACAAAGTTTACCATGCGCACAACATCATCCAACACAGGAACTAGGTCTGCTGGTAAAGTCTTGGCTACGAGGGCCTCATGGTGTAAAAAACTGTGCGAAACAATCCCATCTGGGTTTCTTTCCTTCACTCTGCTTACAAAGCCTTTGGTGCGCCTGACCATGGCTGCAACTCCATCAGCGCAGACACTCGTGCAGTTTTCCCACTTAAGTCCTCCTTGTTCAAGATATTCTGATGTGACGCGAAAAATTTCCCCTCCTGTTGTTTTTTCTGACAATGCCTTGCAAAAAAGGAAGTTTTCTCTGATTGTGTCTCCATCCACAAAACGCACATTGGCCAAGAGTTGAGCATGTCCACTAATATCAGTCGACTCATCAAGTTGCAATGCAAATTTCTTACTGATACGGATCTTTTCCAAAACCACACTTTCGATGTCTGCAGACATGTCATCAATACGTCTGGAAATTGTGTTATCTGAGAGAGGGACTTTGGCTATTTCTTCAGCCGCTTCAGGTCCGAGCATCTCATTTACAATGGCTTTGCAGGCAAGTATTAATGTCTCTGCCACAGTGTGCAACTTTTTTGACTTAGCTACAAGTTCAGCAATGTGGTAGCTAGCTTTAAGGGCTCTCTCATTTACCTTTGTGGTTTTTCTCATGAAAGTTGCCTGTTTCTCCGTGTGTTCACGCAGGCGAACAAAATAGTCCGCATTCTTGTTTTGAAGCGAAGGGTGTTTCGTTTGGAGATGGTGTTTAAGCTTACTTGGGACTATAGCACTGTTGGATAGCTTTTCACCACACACCAAGCACAACAGAGTCGGTTTCATTGCATCCCCAGTGAAAGTAAATCCAAATGAAAGATAGCTTTCGCGGTATTGCCTCGTGCCAGAGACTTTGCTTGAGCTACCCGTCTTTGCTTTCTTTTGACCTCCACTCATACTTGGGCCTTCATCTGGGCCCAAATTTTGTCCAGGGTCCAGTTCGGTGTTAGCATCTTTCCTTTTCAAAAAATTCTCCATCACTGTCACCGTATAGTCTCGCTAGCCACAATGCCACTGTCACTGCCACCTGTCGCATCCATACATCACTAATTCTCTTGTCTCAAAGTACAAAGCAATTAGCTACCTGCTGCCACCTACTGATATGGAAGAGTATTACATGGTTTCTCTGCCGATCACTAGACAGCACAGACACTCGACAACAGCACATTATTTGCGGATAATAATTAATTTGTTTTCAAAAAATATTTTTTAGACCAATTAGGTGAAATTGGATAATTTCCCACGGCACACCAGACAATATCTCACGGCACAGTGGTTGAAAAACACTGGTGTAGAGGTCATTAAGGTCATGCTGATGAAAGGGGTGGGTGTGGGAAAATTTAATGTTGTAGACTTTCCCAAGGGAGAGATGTTAAAGATGCGCACTGAGGTGTGTGTGTGTGTGTGTGTGTATGTGTGTGTGTGTGTAGTGGTGGAGTGTGTGTGTGTGGTGGTGGAGTCTCCAGACCCATCTTCTACACTACTGCATCGTCCTCACAGATGTTTAACATCAATCAGGAGATTAATGAGCCCACAACTGACTTCAAGAAAGCAGCCTACATCAGGAAAGAGGGACGAGAGGCAGCGTGCATTAGCATTTACAGAAACACCAGCAAAATAATTGCATCCCCTGCCTTCCATAATCCTGGCCAACATCCAATCTGAGGAATAAAATGGACCAGTTACATGGGAGTAACAGTCATCTACGTGAATACAGGGATGCCTGTCTCACAACATTCATGGAAACATGGCTCACTGACTTGGACTCTGGTACTTCCTTGGACATATATGGTTTCTGGGCAGTGAGGTAACAGGGAGGGGTTGTATGTCTATACATCAATCGCAGATGGTGCCACACTTTTACCATGCAACAGCAGTTGCGTGTGCCAGATATAGAGCTATTGTCCATGTCGTTGAGGCCCTTTTATTTCCTAAGGGAATTCCCTCAGCTGTTTGTCACTGTTGTTTACATTCATCCTAGGGCCAACACAGAAACAGCAGCAAACACCATCTTCAAAGTGGTGTAGACACTCGATTCCACCTCCGATGATACCCCCTTTATTATACTGGGAGATTTTAATCACTGTAACCTTCAGAAAATGTTGAATTGTTTCTATCTAGGGCTGTCCCAAACCATTTTTCTTTAAACGATTAATCTAGCGATTATTTTTTTTATTAACCTAACAGTAATTTTATTGCAATTAGTTTCCTCTTTATGTGCTTGTGCATGACTGTTGCGCTAGAGTGATATGCCAGATGCACTTTGCAGAGTCTGCAGACTACCGCACTGTTGGTGTCAAGATTAAAGTATTCCCAGACTTTGGAGGACCGTGTGCGAGCCTTTTTTGCCGCGTGTTGCTCCACACTCTCCATCGTACTGCTGGTAGACGCCGCCATGTTGTTCAAATAGATTACACAGATGCAAATCATTCATGTAGTCATTGACTTCAATTACGTTACCGCGTTGTCCCAGCCCTTGCACTGCGCTTGTATCCGGGTAAACCAAAGACTATGGATATAAACGGTCACATTAGAAAGTTCCGGTTTTGTTCTATGAACATTTACCCTGTGTGATTTTACGCGACGCGTCGACACTAAAATTCCACGTCGAATAATTTTTATAATCGACAACATCGATTACATCGGATAATCGTCCCAGCCCTATTTCTATCAATTTGTTAGTTGTCCCACATGCCACAATAAAACCCTGGACCACTGTTTTGGCTCCAGAAAAGGGGCATATAAGTCTATAAGTCAGACCCTGTCCTGGGTTCCTTCAATCACAACATTGTGCTTCTTCTACCCGTCTACAAGACTGTGTTGAGGAGGGAGAAGGTGTATAAGAGGCTGCTGAAGGCCTGGAATGAGGATTCCTGGTCAGTGTTCACAGAATCCTCAGACAATGTTGACAAGTTGAGAGATGTTACGTGGAGCTGCACCTCTTTTTGTAGAGACAATGTCATTCCTGCCCAAGTTCTCAAAATTTTTCCTAATAACAAACCATGGGCTTCCACATCAGCCCTGAAGGGGTCTGATTCGGAAAAGAAAAAATGCTTTTGATGAGGGTAATGTTCCTGAACTTAAAAAAAGGAGCTCAGTTTGGAGATCAAAAAGGCTAAACTCAGGTACAAAGATAAAATTAGCTGAAGCTGAACTGAGCAGTAACAACTTAAAGGAAGCCTGGAATGGCATGTAATCTATGACTGGATATGATGACAAAGTCAATAGAAACATTGCCCTGGCTGGTTTTAATGCAGACAGTTGCTTTGGTTGTTGATACCACAAGTGTGCAAAAACACTTCTGACTTACCAAGTAAGTAAATATTGGCGGTCAGGGTCTTAAAACCTGTGCTGAGCAGTTATGTAGCATCTTTCATTTTATTTTCACTCTATCTCTTCAGAAACAGAGGGTTCCTATGGAAGCATTCTACAATTGCCCCTGTTTTAAGGACTGAAACAACAACATTTAATAACTCAAGGCCAATTGCAATAACATCATCCTTAATCATGAAGACACTTGAGACGCTAATTAAAAAAGAGGTGTTATAGCAGGTGGAGAAATCCCTTGATCCCCTGCAGTTTGCATACAGATCTGGCAGAAGTGTGGAGGATGCTAATATCACACTACTAAATCTTCTGTATCACCACTTCGAGCAGAGAACAGCTCAGGCCAGGCTGGTGTTTATAGATTTCTCTTCAGCTGTTAACACCATCCAGCCACATCTGTTAGCAGAAACGCTAATTCATCTTTTTAAACTGGATTTGAATCTAGTTGGCTGATTTTAGACTTCCTGACAGAAAGGTCTCAGTGTGTGAAGGTGAACCAGCTTTGTTCCTGCTGCTGTTCAGTTGTTAAATAGCAAATAGTGTTTAATTTTTAAGCTTATTTACATAGACTGCTTACTTGACTTTTGAACTTTGACCTTGATGATTGTGTGAGGGACAATAAAGACACTTTGAACTTTTGAGATCCTGGTTAAATAAAGAGGACAGAAGTAGAGGAAATACCTGCAGTCATCAACTGTTATCTACATACATCTAATAAACATCATGATGTGGACTTTTGTAATTACAGAGATCATGTGGACCAGACTTCACTGATATAAAATAATAATGATACATATAATGAATTCTCCCCAGAAACTGGTTTAACTTAACTCATGCTTACCATCCATACTTAAATTATTTTAGAAAAGATACAGGTGTAATCACTGTTGATACATATCATTTCTCCAAAGATGGTGGATACAGCTGTAACCATGGTACCTATGGTTGTGATGACTGTTCCAGCAAAGAAGAAGGCACTGCCCAGATCCCAGTGGCTGGAGTTGTAGGAAGTGTCACCGATGGGATTCACTCCAGCATTCACAGCTTCCACAGAGTGCTGCAAGGAAAAGCAAAGACAGAGACACATGAGAAAAGCTTCATCCTGCTCTTGTTATATAGGACTGTCTCTTACTGTTATCTGGATTCAGCAGACTCCTCCTTAGTGTCTGCTGGGCTCTGAGGAGACAGGGTTCACCCCTAAATGCTATCAAATCATCTGTTTGCTGCTGGTGTTGATACTGCTGTAGTGTAGTTGTTTATAGTGTTAACTATTACTCAAATGTTTTGGATCACACAAACAAATCCAGATACATTAAACATAAGGTTTAGACAGAACACCAGGAGCACCTGTCTGTACAGGATGATGTGAATAACTGAGCAGAAAATCCTACCATGGTTCAGCTTACACTGTAAGGGGGCACCAGTCCTCAGGGAGGACAAAAATGAACTATTTCATTGATTAATGGGCTCAATCTCATATGAGAACACTTGACGATCTTTAGTCTCTACTTCAAAATAACACAACAGTAAAATGACTGAGTGTAAAAAAGAAATTTATTAATAGACTACAAACTACAAATGCTTTAATTTGTATTTACATGAGGTTTGAAGGAAAACATTGTTTTTTCAAAAGGGTCATACATGACACAGAATTTCAAGAATGAAAACTCTTGCTACCAGGCATCAGCACATAATAGCATATCACCTAAATATGCCTCTATTTTTCGGACCCCACACACAAGCCTCAAGTGTCACCTCTGTCCAAGTTGCTACTCTGCCTCAAGTAGCAAAAGACTTCATAGAGACCAAGCGAGATAGCCAAAACATATACATTACATCAAAGGTCTACATAGATTACACAGAATATGCAAATGGAGTGTTTGTTTCTACTGGCCAGGCAGGTGGACTTTCAAAATTCAGCAGGATTGAACATGTACTGCTTGTGAACAACTCTGTTTCCTTTCTTTGCAGGAACTACCAGTGCTGGTACAATGAGCATTTAAGATCATTTGAGCTGACATCACCAGATAAGTTGTCCACCAGCTGTCAGAACTAAATGACACAGTAAGTCTCACAGCATTCACAATCGATGGACACTTGCTGTTAACACAGAAGAGATTTATTCTGATCAGAGACTTAGAAGATTTAAAATGTGTTTACAGATAGGGGCCTATACAGCCTCTCAGAACTGTCTGGACAAAATTGATATTCACAGAATACGCCTCCAGATATCTGTGAATAAGCTGAAGTCAATGATAAAAGAGAAGTTCAAGCTAGACTTCGACTTCTGTCTATCATACCAAGACCCAGACTTTGATGGGCAGCTATGTTCCCTTGTAGACATTGTGGAACTTCCACAGAAGACTGTGCTAAAAGCTATACGATCTGAGAGCGATGCCAGGTCAGTAGCATCAGATGACACAATAATATTATTAATAATATAAGGGCTGAATGATGGCCTCAAGATTTTCCAGTGCCCACTTTTTCCTATGAATTAGAACTGATACTTGGGAAGGGAAATCTTACATATGAGAGAACAGGAAAGACTCTACAATTATCTAGGGGAGAAAAGCATGACATCCTTGAAACCCTTGTGGCCAAAATGCACAACTTCAAAGCACTCAAATGATAAGGAAGTTTTAGAGGTAGCACAAGCACAAGCATCCTTGTCTAAAAGAGCCAGGATCTTGGACAGGGTGATATGGTTGGAAAAGTCTGAAGTTTAAGATAGGGAACTTCTGCACTAAATTGAGTCGGGCTGGGTTTCAGGAGGTAGCTGTAAATTCTGGGAATGGGGGCAGAAACAACTCAGACAAACGATCTCCTCACACTAACATCAAAAGACCCAAGAGGGCAGAAGTGAATTTCCTTACCAATTTCCCAAGATGTGAAAATGCTGCAAGCCTTGAACAACTGAGACTTCAAATTGTAGATGAAGTTAAGATGAGTGACAAAAATCTTGTCATGATTATGAAGTTAATGCAAACCACCTTTGCCTTGCGACGCAAAGAGATTATCAGTGATGACGATCCTGTTGTGAGATCCTGGAATGCTGGCCTGCCCTGAAAATTGAGTCACAGGCTAAAATGTTTTCCTTAGTACACATATTTGAGCAGATGTATTACATTTATTTCCTGTATGTGGCTCTTTCAGTGATAAAGTTTACTTAAATTTACATCATATGAGTTGGTAGTGTAAGGATTTGCATGTTTTCCGCTAAATCTGAGAGTCACTTAGTTTTGCAATATTTGTCTTTTTTTCCAGAGCCACATATATACTATACACATGCACTCAGACTTAATCACTCATTTTATTTGTGCAGATCTGTGCCGAGTTTCATAGAATTACCAACGTGAACCTGAAGAACCACTTCTATGACTGACATGCCCCCCGTCTTCAGAACCTTTTCAGGAAGAAAGCTGCTTGCACAGGGAAAGAGTCTGAAGTTCTGGGTCAGCTCTTCAATATTTATGACCTCCAGGTCTTTTTGTTACACTTCTTGATTCCTGATAAATATAGCACAGTGGATTTTGGATTTATCTTTAGTTAATGATGCAGTGTGTAAGATTTAGAGGGCTATATGGAATAAGACAGAAATGGAATATAGTATTCCTAATTATGTTTTCATTAGTTAATGATCACCTGCAACTAAAAATTGTGAATTCATTAGCTTAGAATTATTCAATTAAATTCCCATAAAGAGGCCACAGGGGGGAGGAAAAAACTTCCTTTAACAGGAAGAAACCAAAAATGTAACACGAGTCAGATCGGACAGTGACTCAAATTGCGTAGAGCTACAGAATTTCTCTTGGATCCTACACACGCTTTAAACTGTCATCTATGAAGACATGGTAGGATAATACATAGTATTATGTGGCTGTAATGATTAGCATTCACAGTAAATCGAGAATATGTACTCATTGAAAGAGCAAGTTGACTTCCAGGTCAGACATACTGCTGTTCTTCGTGCTCTCCCTGCCTATCTGTGTGAGGATGATTCAGGTTTTCTGAATACCTGTGATGTAAGTTACCATATTGTTTACAATATATTATATGTCATTTCATGGAATACAATTGATCTGTCAAAGAGTTACATTGTTTTGTTGTTCCAATGCAGAATTTAAGTTATATTTATTTTCATCAAGTAAAACAGTTAATCTGCACCGCTGACATCAGAGTTTCATTGTGTCTATGAGGACTAATTTCATTAACTTTTTTTTTTTTTTTTTTTTTTAATCTCACTTGCCTCTCAGATCTAATTCAGGATCTAATTGCAGGTTTTGATTATAACCATTAGAATTATAGAAAAGTAATTGCAATTTCATGGAGTGTGATTTATTATCTTTGTGGCTCTCTTTGACAGCCACAATTTTTTTTTATCAATCAGGCTTTGGAAATTTGTAGCAACAGATAACGGTTCTGTCATTGCCTTCAGGTGACACGGTCTGATGAACCAAACATTGAGGGCACCCCACTCAGACTCTCAATGAGTGCCAGTTCAACAGATGCCACCTTCTTCTGCCCCAAGAAGACTGCAGTTATGATTGAGGGTAACATAATTATTGATTCCCCCACATTGGCTGATGCTTTTGTCCTGCTCTCTGCACTCATCTATGTGCTGCATCTGAGTTACCCTAAAGAGTTGAGCAACATATTTGACTTCACCCAGAAAGTCTTGATGGTTTGGAGGATGGGAGGTTGAGGCCCAGAGTGTTGAGTCTTAAAAATGACCTTCTGGCAGTTGTGTAATCTTACTGTATGCACAAAATTGCCTTCCTTTAAGACTTAATTTGCACTTGGACTTCCGTTACTTTAAGGGAATACCATAAAGCAATAAAAAGGAGTTTTTTGTTGTAGTTTTATTTATTTTGAAAACATTTTATAGATCTGTTTTTAAAGTATTCTTGTTCAACTTGTTTGAATATGTTACTGCTCAAGTTGAATGATGGCGTGTTTACACTGCAGTTTCCATATCTTTGATGTTTATTTGTTCATAAGGCCAATACTGGTAGTGTGTCAAATCACTTAGCAGAATTGTTATGGCAAATTAAGCATTAATATGATACCTTGACTTTGCAAGGTATTTGATATGCAGACTTAACCATCTGGTTATTTCATCCATATACAGTGTCTCAGTTGATTTTCTAGGCATTAATATTATTAGGATATATTAAGAGTGACAAACCATTGTTAATCCACTCAGTTTAGGCCTTTTCACTATATTTGCAATACTGTTATATTTCTAATGTTGTAAGTGAAATGTTCCTCTTTTATGGAGGTAATACAGGCAGGGCAATATCCAGACATTTTTGCAATAATGCTTACACTGAGGTAGATGTCTTAATATCTTTGTATTATTAAACTATTTTTCACAAGGCTGTAAATTATTGAGCAAAACAGTTTACTGTAGTAGTTAATTTGTTACTTTTGGCATCAATGTGTAAAAGTGCCAGGAATTAAAATCATTATATGTATTAGGAATTCATTGGTACAAAGCATGTCATACTATGTTGTTGGAAAGTGGGCAAAATAACGCTCCAAAGTTAGGCATTATTTTGGCAAGGGGGTCCCTTGACATCTCATCACAAGATAAGTTAATGAAAATGGCATCTATGGTACTGACAGGTCTTCCCTCTGCAGACATGCCTACTTTAACGTGTATGTTAATAACATTCAGTTTGGGTAAAAACAATGCAGTTTTTTGCATGCAAGTAATAATGTGTTACTTTTTAACCCTATCCTGTAATGGTGTAATTGATTATTTCTGCATGCTGTGGCCCTAAAGGTATAATGTGTAAGATTGTGCTACTTGATCCACCTCCACAGGGGGCAGCATTTCACTTCTTCGCCCCTTTGCAGTTAATCATGTTGTTGTTTTCCCCATGTTCCTTATAATTTATCATTTATATGTGCATTTATTGTTGATAGTTAAAATTGTTGATAGCACTGAAACAAATTATAAGTACAAGTAATACAAACAGTATGTTTTTATTTACATATACAAATTTGAAGGCAAGGAGATACTGCATGATACATAGGTGTCAGGCTACAGCAGCA